CTGTACGTCTACCTGTCCGTCTTCGACGCTTCTCAGCAGTTTCCTGAAGGATTCTACACTACCAGCCAGCCCCTTCTGGAATTCATCCCGTGTCCCATCGTCTCCCAAACGCTCTACCTTCCACCGGAACACTTTCCTCTGTTTCTTACTCTTGATCTTTCTGGATCGGTCGATGTTTGCCCATATGAGGAAGTGGTCGGTCGAACCTATGTCTATCGCACTCACGTGCAGCTCTGGGATCTGCGTGCTCCCCCTATCTACCAGGAACACCGGGGGGGTTGGCTTGTTTTACAACGTCGTTGCCAAGCGACGAAAACCCAACCCCGATGGCAAACTCCGGGGGGGGCGTGGGCGCGCGAAAATAACCACTCTGCCCACTACAATAAATAATGCACTTCTGTTCAGCTAGGTAGGGGAGTGGGAGCCCCGAAGATTTCTGATGTCATGGGGGTATCGCATCATCATGTTTTCCTATTGGGGTGTTTCTTACGTTGTGGCCGAGATTGAGCTGTGTTTCTTTGCCCTTTTTTCTTATGCTTCGTACAGACCTTGGGCCTTTTCTTCGTAACAGAATTATTTTTATCTGCGGGCGCTATCTGTGCATGCAGCCATTGCAGGTTTTGTCGATTATGTCAACATGTTGGATAAGCATGCAATCGGGGAAGTTGGGTCAGGGTCAGGGATAAGGTTTGCTATCCCCTACCTGTTCGTTTTCCTCAACAACTTTATTTCTCGCAAATGCGGTCCGGGAGACTTGCCCCCAAAATATCTGTACCGAATAGTAGTACCCGTTCAACGGGATGTGTTGACAGTCTTGAAAAATGTCTTGAAAAATGTGGGTGTTGGATCGTACAAGAGGTCCGAACGATGTTTCACTTTCAAACGACACGCAACGACTAGAACAAGACCGGTCGAAACCTTTCAACTAGAAACATTTTGGGCGCTCTCGCCAACCGTACTTACCATGATACGTACATGCCTTCCCAACCTTACCAGCTGTATCCTACATAATCCATTTTAACCTGGGAAGACAACTCGTCCACCAGCGCACACCCCCGTTGGTACCCCTCTCAAACCTCATGCCCACTTCGTCCAACGCTACCCACCCTGTCTGTACGCGCACCCCACCGGCTCTCCTCATCGCCGGCACCACCCACGAACCAAACAAATCGATGGATGGATCGGTCGGAACGATCAGGCCTCGGGCTCTTGGGGGTCGAGGCGTTCGTCTTGCCGTCGGCGACTCTCCGACAGGTGAGCCACAGCAGCAACACCGGTACGCTGCTGCCGCCCTCTGCTGTAGCCGACGTCTTGTATCGAGAGGTCTCTTGTCGAGTGAGGGTGCTCTTGGGGCACACTCCCCTCAGACGCAGAACCTCCGTCCAGGCGCAATACAGCACGGACACGGAGACAAATTGAACGTCAATAATCGGGTAGATGCCCAGCTTCTTGATTTGTCGCCACTGTCGACCACATGTTTGTTAAGAGTCTAGCATAGGATTCATCGCTGAGCTGTGTTGCTCTGTACCCTATTTTCCTATTTTCGGTGAAAGTACGAGCCCATCTTTCTTGAAATAATTCTACACTTCGTGTATGTTTAATTACAAAATATTTCGAAGTTGCGGTAGAGTCAGTAGTGGTGTCGGAGCGTGCCTTCCACACCGTTGTCGATGCCATCCTGCAGGACGCAATGAAGTCTTTACTATCGGTGTTGAGTTTATTTGGTGTCGTTACGCGCCTCGAATACACACGACCCCCCCAACTCGCTACCTGAACATGCAAACCCCTTCGTGCTGGTCGGCGAACTTTTTTTTTTATTCTCCGACGCAGGCCGCTAGGCAGGAATTTTGCAGCATCTTGATGACCCCACATGTCGAGTATGACCTTCCCCCCCCCCTGTGCCCTTCACCGTGCGTATGTTTCTTGGTGGTTGTAGGGATCGTTTGCGCAGCAGCAGCAGCAGCAGCAAGGAGTAACGCGATGGACAGCCGCCGCGGGACCGCGAACGGCGAGGGGCGGGGGGGGGGGGGCGCTGTCGATGGGATCTACCGCGGACTTCAAGAACGGGATGACCATCGACATTGACGGTGCGGGCGGCGTATATGTGCGTTACCGTTTGCATCGACCGCGCTAACCGGCCGACCTTCTGTTTTGGTGTGTGTTTCTTCGTAGCGTCGACTGCGCTGACCGACTGACGAATGAAAAGACGTCAGTTCCTGTGCGGCTGAAAACATAATTTATCTGTATAGTGTGTGTGATGGTGTGGTATCTGGCTGGCTTGAAGGATGGTTTCTGTTTGGTTTTACTCTCCTCTCGTGTTCTGCTGTGAAGTCGTTGCATTCGTGTATGTTTGGGTTGATTTCGTGTGTGTTTGGGTCGCCGGGGGTTTGTCGGTACCAACGCCAAGCAGCTCGTGCGCCGCGCCAAAGTTAATGGCATGAAGACATTGAGGTATTCATCACAATGGTATATTCTGTATCTTTGTATTCTTCCTCATCGCACAAACGAGCCACGACCAGGCGTTTGGAGCAGCAACGGCCTTTGTCCATTCGCGGGAAGCACGTCAAAGTGCCAGGCAACAAGCATGCAGCGCAGCAGCGGTGTGCCGAGACACATACAACCCTCGGGGAGAGCGGGACAGCTCCATGCAGTGGCGTGGTTCAGCCGAGGATTCTTTCCTGTGGTCCTATGGTGCTCCAACCACGCCCGCCCCGGCCCACGCCTAGTTTCTCTCGGAGTTTTCGCGTCTTTGGTTTGGGGTGTGTGGGAAACCGCGAGACGGGAACCACCACCGTATATGTATGTGGGCAGCTTTCTTTGTCGTTTCTTTTGTGTCGTTCCCCCTCGGTGGCTCGTAATGTTGGCCAGTGAACGGCCGCCGCAACCGCATTGCGCCCTTCGACGTGATCGGTTCGCTCGTGACTCTCCTCACCCGATGTTGCGGTTGCCGCCGCCCGCAACCCAGGCAACCCTTGCAAGATTCTGGAGTTCTTGCACGTGAAGCCGGGCAAGGGGTCGGCGTTTGTGCGAACAAAGGTCAAGAACCTCATCACGGGCAACTCTTTGGAGAAAACGTTTCGGGCGGTGAGACGAGAAACGGATGGGGAGCCGCTCAGCTTCGGTGTTGGCGTGGCGGTTGTGCCTGGGGGTACCCGCAGATTGGACGGCTGCCTTACAGAATGCCCTGGCAGAGAGAGAGAGGGGTAGAGAGGGAGAGAGAGAGAGAGAGAACCCGAACCTTCTGTTTGTTTTTTTTCCCTCTCAAACTTCTGTTTCATATCATTGTGGGGAAAATTCCACTCGTGATGCCGTCGCGCGCGCTCATCGCGCTTGAAGAAAATAGGGCGACGCACCCAAACTCCACGGCGCAGTCTATTGAAGCCGAAATCGAACCATGGCAATAGTCAGCTCTGACAAGTCTAACGGTGTGATGTCGGCTGCTTCAACTCGAATCAAGCCTGCATTCCGTGCGTACTTCCAGCACGCTGACTAGTCGAATGGTTTGATGTCGGCTTCGATAAGTCGCATCAAGCTTGCAGTCCGCGCCGATCTCCAGCACAGGCATTCTGGTATCGATGCTGGGTCGTGCATGTCAGACCATGCGTCGTTTTATTTGTTCAACATTCAACGCCGGATACGCGCATGCCATCATGAAACCCTACTTTACTCCGTTTCAAAAAACTTTCCTTGCTCTCTCTAACTCTGGCGTGTGGCACCGCCCCGCACGAAATCAGGGAGAACCGGTCGAACAAGCGCAGGTGGACAAGCTCGACCTGCAGTACACCTACAAGGAGGGGGACATGTACTACTTCATGGACTCGGCAACCTACGAAGAGGTGTCCATCGCGGAGAAGGTTGTGGGGGACAAGGCGGGCTTCTTCCTGGAGGGGATGGAGCTTTCGGTGAGCGGGGGGGGGGGGGGGGGGGGGGG